GGGGGGGGGGGGGGGGGGGGGGGGGGGGGGGGGGGGGGGGGGGGGGGGGGGGGGGGGGGGGGGGGGCATCTTTGGGTTATTGCCGCGAATGGACGAGGCAGACAGAGACAAAGCGCGTTGTCTGTGTCACACATCCGGTTCGACCATGGATAAAACGGGCACCCGTGTCCCTGTAACACGCCGCTGGCAGCGACCGCGGGAACGGGCGAGCGTCGGCCAATCAGATGGCGTCATGCGGTCGCTATCAGCAGCGGCGTGTCATGTAGCGACGTGTACCCGATCGTGGCCATGTCCGGACCGGGCATGTACCCGATTTCGGCCACCGCTCCTCCGGAATAGTCAAGAGGAGCGCCGCAGGCGGGACCGGTGGGGGTGGGCTCGCGTGCTCGCGAAAAATTACGTACCTGTTGAGGAGGATGGGCTTGATCCCGGCATGCATCAGCCTGGAGAAGAGGCTAGTCCCAAGGCCGCCGTCTTCTGCCTCGGGGCATATCACCGTGGGCGGGAGCTGCGGACCATCACCGATAAAGCGCGGTCGCAACGGAGGAAACAGAGGGGGGCGCGTACTGTTCTGTTTTGCATGCCTTTGCGGTTGTAGACCATTGTCCACGCGTCCTCGACAGGACGAAACACGAGGGGGGGAGGGTGAACGCGAAACACTATCGAGTGGTTGTCGAACCTCCGCAATATCATTCGCCGAGGTGGGGGACTTGCACAGTCAAGGCCCGTGACACGGTACGAAGGGCAGCCTCTCACGATTCTGGTCTATCTCTACCAATGACACAATAACGCGACACGTGCGGGCGCAAGACCCGCCCGCAACTCTCCAGCACTACACTTGGAAGAAACCACAAGCTCCTTCTCGACAATCGTTGCCATAGTCCACAATGCGACACACTCAGACGCAAGTCCGCCTGTGACTCTCGCTCTCTCCCCCTCTCGAGTACGTCACTCGAACAAGAAGCGAACAGACTGGTCCTCCAACAAACCGTCTCCGACCGAGATACAAGATACCAGCAGCTGCACTCGAGACGAACCAGCGCAGCTGACGTTCTACCACGTGTAGAGACATGCACTGCATTGCTACCGCTTCTAGAAGCGCTGCAAAGCCTGTCGTGAAGTTCGTGTGATTCCGCCAGTACCTCGTTCTATATCATTTCCCGATACATCGAGATGAAGGAGACACTCTAACGACTCAACGGACATGGCGTGGCATATACATACCTGGTTCTGGTCTCCCACCAGGACGAGCTGCTGGCATCCGCGTATGATGGGCACGAGGGCCGCCGCCTCCGTAGCCTGGGTGGCCTCGTCGATCACTACCGTGGAGAAGCGGATGGAGCTGAAGCCCCTGCAGGTTGGTTGGTGGCAACCACACCCACGCAGGCACACACACAAATCACGGTATATGAATTTTGTGTTTTTCAACTTGACGTCTTTTAATTGGTCTGCCGGTTGCTTAGCGCGGTCGATGCTAAAAATAAAAAAAATAGAACGCACAGCACACACACAGCAGATGGAGCTGAACCCCCTGAAAGCTGGTGGCAACAACGGCAGTAAGCAGAACAACAGGACAGGGTCAAACAAGCTCGGCTTGTCAAGAAGGACAGGCAAAACACAAGGGAGTTGTCCCAAGCACGAAATAAATGCAATACATACGTCCAGACCAATGACGGGGTGCGGGTGGGGGGACGATACCCCCCCCCCATCTTGTGCGCACCCAAATCACTGAGCCCCCGAATGAATTACTTATTTTCTTCCAGTCTTCGTCTTGGATTAAATTCTTCCTTCGAAAATAGAACGCCACGCTCGCTATAACTTGAATAGTATTGCTTACCCTTCTTGGTCGCCTCCGATCGCGCGGACGAAGGCGTCATTGCCGGCGCCGATACAGCTGCAGACTACCACGTCCGCCCCTTTGATGATCTGCCGGGCGGCCTCCAGCTGCGCCGCCTCCAGCACCGCGTACGCGCGCCTGGACGCGGACTGGGACGGGGTGGTCGCGCTGCTGTTTCTGGGCTTGGATCCCGCGGAGCCCCTGCTTGTCGACGGCCGACGCGCTTCTGACTCTGCCGATGATTCGGCCGACTGCGATACCTCCTTTACCCAGCCCTTTGCCGCTTTTTTTGGGGTTGACGCCCCCGTGGGAAGGAGAGAAGGGGGATTGGATGGGAGGGGTGAGGTGTGAGCGGCCGCGAAGAGGAAGGGAAAGCAAAGGACCAAAAAAAAAGAAAGGAAACATGCGCAAGATACACACGCTAGTCGTCGACGTCGTCTGTCACGTACTGAAAGGTGAACGCACAGAGCAAGGAGCAACCAACACTGCTGCGACGCCGCAATTTACTCGTATGACAAAGATTCATCCCCGCACGAATATGACGGAACGGTTTTCCTATGGTAAGACCACAACAAAAAACAAGTTTTCATACACAAGACGCCTGGGTACCAGCAACGCTTGAGGACACCGCCAACATATTCAACCATTGCTTCAACATCAACACCGTTGTGTTGGCTCTAGAGACAGCTACCGCCGCATTAAGCTGCTTTGGCTGCGTCTTAGACGGACTGCTGTGGCACAGCATCCCCACTACCATCACCACATCTCCACGGTGATACATGCCGTCACCAAAGAGAGTCAAAATGAGACAACGCCTCCTGCAGAAACAATGAGCCGGGCTCTCCCACCACCGCGGTAAGGACAACGAGCCCAGAGAAAAGCCAATTCCATCCTGCCAACACGCCACAAACGTTGGGAAGTTTTCACGCTTACAGCAATCCCTCAAGACCCTGATGTAGGAACACTCGCTGATTTTCTCGTGTGTTTTTTCGTGGTACAGCGGTTTCTCAGAACATCGGATGTTCTGAGCAACTGCTGTTCCACGAAAACGACACGAGAAAATCAACAAGTGTTGCTATATCCAGGGTCTTCAGGGATTGCTACGCGTGTAAACCTCCAAACAAGAAAAGGCACTACCTTTTTCGTTTCTTTTCAAGGGAGGGTGGAGGGTGGCTCACCGACAGGTGGTTCTTCCCTTGAGCCTCACTAGGGACGCTTGTTTTCTTCGTAATAAAACAGCAATAAACCCTTTCATCCCTTTTGTTCATACGTGGAAGGTCTGATACGAAACAGAGATGAATTAATCGCGTCCGCGGAGCGCTGATCGCGTCCGCGGAGCACTGCCCGTGTGTCTACAATTTTGCAGTGTTCATAATCGTCTTCATGTTTTTTTGGTAAGGGTGGCCCACCAACAGCTTCCGGGGTGGCTCTCCACTAGCGCCGCGCTGACGACAATTTTTTTTTTTTCTTATGCTTTTTGGTGTAGAAGGGTGGGCCACCGACAACTCTACAGTAATAGGGACGTTGCATCGTTCCATGTTTCTTCTTTTTATTGTGTGTTGGGGTCGTGCACCTTATTTTTTAAAATTATTGTTAGGGTGGCCCACCAACAGCTTCCAGGGTGACTCCACTAGCGCCCCGCCCGCGAAAAACATTTTTTTTTTTCTTACAACCGTTGCTATTTTTTGGGGGTGGCTCACCGACAACTGCACTACAAGTACAACAGGGACGTTTCTTCGTTCGATGTTGTTCACTTTTTTTTTGTGTGTGTGTGTGTGTTTTTATTTTATATTATTAGGGTGGCTCACCGACAACATCCGGGTGGTTCTCCACGAGAGCGTCGAGCGTGGCGTGCCACAGGGTAGGGCGGATCGTCGCCGGTCGCCCGATCCTGAGAGCGCGCAGTCCTAGCTCGAGGGCGCCCTCCAACAAGTTGTCCGCCGCGACGTTGCTGAACGCGGTCGCCATCACCTTTAAAGGACGATGCGGGCACAGAGAGAGGAGCTAGGGTGTCATCGAGGGTGTACAGGAGTGGTCCCGACATAGTGGCATCAAAATCTCTTATCTCAAAATGTGCATGGAGCCCGAATACATCGAATAGTGGAATTGCTACCCTGAATAGTGGCATATTTTGCTCTTGCCCCTACATGCCACTACTGATATCAGGACCATTACTGTAGTCGGGTCGTTCAGATTGAGTTACTCATCCTATGATTTTCGAACATCGATTCCCATCGTGAACGTCAATCGCGTTTCATCTACACATAAAAAGATCACGTAATAGCTTATCGCTTTGTACGTTCTCTGTGTCCATTTCAGGCTGAGATATTCAGCTTCTTCCTTTCGAGACTGAGAAGCAATTCGTGCACCCCTACTAACGTTGGATGAGCCATTGGCGGAGACGAAGGGGAAGCAATGTGGGGCGCGGGGGCGGGAGGGGATTCTCGGCATGTTGCGTTGTCTGTGTTTGTGACGCTGCCTATCTGCCGCACGGGAGGCTCAAGGGTGTCTCGCCGAAGGGTGCACTTCAGCTGCTGCATCAACAACGCCATGACCACACACGCATACAGACCCCGAACAACAAGCGGAAAAATAATAAGGGAAGACTCGGCGGGTCTTCGCACCCCTCCCTAGCTACGAAGAGGCAATACGTGGATAACCAACAAAGAAACATTGCTGTACCAACAGCGACAACAACAACGGATAGCAACAACGATAACAGCACAGCAGAAGGAACAACAGTAGAAAAGGCATCGACACCAGACACACAGCACAACCCCCGCGACAGCAGCCGTACCTTCCCGTCCCATCGAGCGCCGCCCTTGCTCTGGCGGAGCCTGACCGCCGACAGTATGAGGTTGCACGCCGTCTTCGTCTTCCCCGTCCCAGGAGGACCCTGGATCAGCGTTAGACGACTCCCCAGCGCCTGCCGGATAGCTCTTGTCTGTGCATCCATCAAAACGTGGCAGATGTCGTTACGGTGGGGATATTGGCGCGAATGTGTGCGGGGGGG